AAGATTCTTGCCAAGAGAACTGATGTGCATATTGATCCTATTAAGCACTCTAAGAGCTGAGACAGCTTCCTGAAACATGTGAAGAAGAATGATCAGAAAAAGAAGGAAGCTGAGAATAAAGATACCTGGGTTCATCTGAAGCACCAGCCTGTTCCACACGGAGGTGCACATTTTATGAGAAAAAATGGAAAGGATCCTAAGCTGCTGGGACCTATTCCCTCTGCATTCATGGCATGATAAATGTAAAACAAAACAAAACAAAACACAAACAGAAAAGCAAAAACAAAAGCCCTATGTACTATAAAAATGATTTTCTTAAATTAAAAAAAAAAAAAAAAAGCATCTCTCTGAGCCATACCAGCTAACATTCTATTGACCAAAGCAGGTCATATCACAATTTAGAATCAAATGGACAGGAAATATGTTCTCCCTCTTCAGAATAAGGCTGCAGGGAGAAATGAAGAATAGAGCTCAGGAATGTAATCTACCAGAGGGATAATACTCTTACAATGTATTTTCACTTACTATATAATTATGTTTAAAAATACACTTTTTAGATCCCATCGTATATTTTTCTAACTGGTCTGGTTTTTCCCTTCCCAAGAGGGAGTAGTAATAGAGAAGAATAAGAATCTTAATCCTTTGCAAATCTTATGCTACCTAAAGTAGAGACATTAACTAAAGGGAATTATGTCACATTCCCACTCTATACTTTTTTGAACTTTCACAGTCTTAGTTTTAATTGTTGAGAAGAAGGAAGTGGGTATGTGGTTTCTGTTACTTTTGTCAGTGCTTCTTGTTTACTGATTTAGGTTATATATTTTATGTAAGAGGTAGAAAAGAGACTAAGCCACTATACTTTGGTGATATAATCATAAGTTAAGTCTGGTCTTCTTGCTAGCATGCTTAAAAACGTGGTTTTTTTTTTTTTTTTTGTCTTGAAGAGGTAAACAAAAAAGAGACATGTACTGGGGCTGGGGTTGTGGCTCAGGTGGAGCGTTTGCCTAGGTTCAATCCTCAGCACCACATAAAAATTAAAAAAATAAAGATATTGTGTCCACCTAAAACTAAAAAATAAATATTAAAAAAAGAGACATATACAGCCTAATTGATGAGGATTCTTTTACTGCTTATGTTGAGAAACAAAGGCAGACCAGAGTACCTTGTACAGCTCTGGAAGTAGGAACATAGATTTTTACTTTATTGGCTTTTACGCAGATCATTGTTCTGCATTATGAACATTCTTTCAGATAGGATTCATTTGGTGGAATTGAAGTTTATGTTAAATCTCATCCCCTTGATGAGATTATGAAGTCTTCATTAACCTAATGAGCTTTTCTAAAATTTTTGCTTAATCTATGCTTTTATTCTCTCAGAGGATGTTTATTTTAAAGTTGTTCACAAATTTTGAGGCTACTATTTTTTTAAAGGAGTTTATGTCTCTTAATCACATATCTTCTTATACAGTGATCCTCTATGAATTTTAATGCTTAATATTTTGTTGATAAGTTACAGATTGATATATATGTATGTGTGTATATATATATATACGTATATATATATATATATACACGTATATATATATATACACACACACACACATATATCTATATATGTGTGTGTAGCATTAAACTGTGATTCATTTGTCATTGTTCCTGAAGAGTGGGTTGATGAGAGATTAGGATGTGGGGACAAATGTAGACTACTTTCTGAAAAATTTTACTTCGAATGAAGGAGAGAGATGAGATGATAGCTGGAGCAAAAGGTGTTTTGTTTTTAAAAGATGATAATATTAGTACATGTTTATCTGTTACTAGGAATATTCCAGGATAGAGGAAATGGATGTTTTGTATGGGAGAGGGTATCGATGGAAAAGTGAAACCCTTGAGTAGTAAGCAAGAAGCATGGGATCCAGATGGTAATTGTAGAAACAAATAGAAAGTGGATCATTTAACCACTGTGAAAGGAAGGAAGACCAAGCAAGTGAGAACAAATGTAGAGGGGAAGTGGAGGTGTCCACTTGCTTTAGTTTTCTTGACATGGCTAGATCATCAGATTAGGGGAATGGGAAAGGAAAGGACTGTCAGTGATTTGGAGAGAGAAAAAGATATATGGTAGTCATTTGGGAAAGTGGAGGAACTCAAACATCAGTGAAATGTATTATGATTACTGGATATTCTTGTATGTCACTCATAACAATGAACTCAATTTATCATCACAGTTACTTTTGGGTGCTTATTTTGTGCCAGATACCATGTTAAGTGCTTTTTATTGATCATTCTAACTCTGATGAAGAAACAAAAGCTCAGAGAGATTAGGTAACTTAACAAAGTTCTCAGAGTGAGATATTGTAGCACAGTCCTGTTTATCACTTCCCAGGATTTACATATTAATATTTGCTTCAAATATGTATGTGTGTGTTTAAATATGGAAGTAAAACAAAAAAATCATAAAAAGCATAAATGTGTAAGACATAAGTGGGTTGCAGTCTATTCCATTTTCTTTCCTGGGCACATTACTGTCCTTCCTTTAAAGGCAACTGCTCATGTATAAACTTTCAATCTATATATAATAAAAAAAACTATTTTGTCAACTTTCCTTATCAACATTATGTTCTTGAATTATGTACATGTTAATATAAAGCTTATATTTTAATATAAGTACAATTTTTCATTTTAATAGCAGTACAGTTATTTAGTATCAGCACAGTATATATAAATTATCTACAATATAGTTAACCAATCCTTGTTGATGAGTATTTATAGAGTGTTTCCAGGGATTCAGTGTTGGTAACAATGCTGCAGTTAGCACTTTTTGTACACTTGTTCTGTGCATTTATCCAGGAAATGGAATTGCTGGGTAAAGCATATTCATATTTTCATTTTTAGTAGATTGCTCCACTTGTCAAGAGTAGCTATGGATGACGTATATGAGATAGTTGTTTCTCCAGTATAATTCTTGGTTGAGAAATTGCTTCATCATGCCTCTATATTTATTCCTGCTCCTCATTCATTATTGTCTCTGATCCTTTTTCTTTTCCTGTTCTTTAATCATATCTTCTCTTATAAAGTCTTAGAAAACAAAGGTGTGAAAGCAAAATGAAAAGAATGAACCATTCATATCCTTATTTTGTACATTTCAGTCTTTCATTTATTGTATGCCTTCCACCTTGCTTTATCTTATGTGTGTGTGTGTGTGTGTGAATAGGTGTGTTTGACCAGTATACCCTTGTTTACTAGTTCATTCTTTACTTTCCTTTTAGGGAAGTTTTATTCCTTCTTTAACACCATTTCTGATTTCTCTAATCAGCATTAGGCCTGTGTGTGTGTGTATGTGTGTGTGTGTGTGTGTATGAATGAATTTGTATCCCTTATATTAAGACATTAGTCTCATTATATTTACTAATTTCTATCATTAGATTAGAAGGGCACAGACTGTATTGAGACAACACTATATTGCTAGTATCTAGCACATACAGGCTGTGGTAGATTTAAGGAACAGATTATTTTTGCCAGTGGAGGGAAACATGGGCATATGATTTATAATATAGTAAATTTGTAACAAAATTTCAAAAATTTTGGAGTTTGCTTATTTTTTTGACATGCATTTTAGAAGCAAAATATTGATACATTATCTTGAGACCTGATTAAGAAAGAGTTGAGAGGTTTTTAGGTTTCCCTATTTCATCCTCTTGTACAAATCCGACATTTAATTAATCCTGTATTTGAAGTAGAAAGGGAAAACTCAGTTTAGATCTGTATTTAGTGCTGGCCTTTATTTTCACAGGGCTAATTGGGCTCCACTGAGATAGCTCTTTGCTAAGATTCTAAAAAGGAGTGTAAGTGAGCCTTCAAGGCTATCTGGATCTTTCTGTCTTCCATCACATCCTCTAACCCTTGGGAGCTCATTAAATTCAATTCTCTCCATTGACTCTGGTTGATGCTAGGTGGTTTCCTTGGCTTTGTGTGGGGGGAATGTTTCAGTAAGTCCCATGTGACTGAGTCAGACAAGGAGTGACCTATCTAATAATGATTGTACGGAGTTCACATTCTGAACCACTGCCTGGAACCATCGTGGAAAGCAATTTGAGGATATTTGTTCATATCTCTAATAGGATCGGAGAGAGTCACACAATTCACCCTCTTTGACCTTCTCCATGTATTTGGACTTGGACATATACATACCTGGCAAAGATTGCCAACACCTCTCAAGAATGAGATAGACTATTTTTTCAAGAAAGTTGAGTTCCATAAGGACTCAGGAATTACCATTTTGTCATCATAAATGACCCCCAGGAACAAAGGATGGTGGCTGTATAGATAAACCTAGGTAAAGTCTGGGTCTAAATTTGAGTCTATCCAGATGTCTTTAATCTTAGCAGTGAGAACCTCTGTTCATCTATTGAGTTAGAGATCTTTCCCTTTAGTTTGAGTTGGATGCTGAGTTTTACAATGTTGAATTTAGTAAAAATTTGACTACTGATGATTTCCGACTGATGCTGTTTCTGCTGTGGTGTCATATTGTTACTTGTTTCACTATAAAACAAGTTTCTTGCTATGCTTATATTTTCTTGTTCTTTTCTCCCTATGCTAGTAGCTAGCTATCTTCTTTGTTCATATGTTTGTTTATTCATCTTAATCTACCATAATAGTAATAATAGAAATTAAATGAATTTATGTATAAATGTATTTTTAACTGAGTTCTGTTTTCATACATTCTATCAAGATAAATTGTTCATTTTTATACTCAAATAGATTTAACTCACATTTTTATACATAATAATTGAAACTTTCAAAATCCAAGGTAGCAAATTATACTTGTATTTAATATAAAAAGCAAAGTTATTGCTTATAGTATGCAATTTTTCTAAGATTAATATTGTCTACCAATAATATGGGTCAGAGATTTTTGGAAGCAGGAGAAATTTATGTTTTTTAAAATAAAGTAAGTTAGATTTTATGTTTATATTAATGAAGATATTTTAAAAATCTGTTTTGTAGGTCAACCATATTCTGATCCACCTCTTCCTCCACAAAGGCAAGATAGATATTATTCTAATTCTGGTAGATTATCTGGACCAGCAGAACTCAGAAGTTTTAATATGCCTTCTTTGGATAAAGTGGGTAAGAAATACTTTGTGTGTTTAAATAATAGTGACACACTAAAGAACTGGAAGCTGAATGAAAGAATAATGTAAATGTATGTCTGTTAGCTCTAAAGACTGAAATCTCTTTCCTGAAACTTCCTGGTTTTATGTTTCTTTTTATATTCTACACAGACATGGCATCTAAATATTTTGTGGCAATTGGTTTGAGCACTATGGTAATGGGTTTCTTCTATGTACCTTTGATGATAAACTTTATTCCATGGCTATTTTAAAAATTTTCCAGGGGCTCAACAGTAGAGTGCTCGCCTAGCATGTGCGAGGTGCTGGGTTTGATCTTCAGTACCACATAAAAATAAATAAATAAATAAATAAATAAAACAAAGATGTTGTGTCCAGGTATGACTTAAAAAAAAAAAATTTAAAAATTTTCCTGTCCACTTACATATATCCTGTTTAGTAAGTAGAGAAATTAGGCAAATGTGAATGTATATGAGAAAGTCCACCAGAAAAACAATTTGGGTACATATTCTATTAATGATTTAATCATTTACCTTGCTACAACATTTCATAAGTAGATTTAACTAACAATTACTGAGCAATCTACTATTAGTCAGGTATCCTTTTACTTAAACTACCTCACAACCATCCACTGAAGTTAGAAAGTATATGCATCTAGTGTAGCAATCAAGAGTATAACACAGGGTCTAGGGTTGTAACTCAATGGTAGAGCGCTTGCCTAGCAAGTGTGAGTTTGATCACACTTGGTTTGATCACACTGGGTTTGATCCTCAGCACCACATAAAAATAAATAAATAAAAGGTATTGTACCCATCTACAACCCCCCCCAAAAGCATTTTAAAAAATGTATAACATTAAGAAAGCAAAACAATTTTTAAGAAGTGGAGTATTAAAATTAATTTATTGATAAGAGAATAAATTACCAAAGGAAAGGAACCTCTATTATATCCTCTAATACACACACATACACACACACACACACACACACAATGTATGTATAATATGCATATATTATATGTATATATTTTGGGGGACATTATCCATTGAAGTATTTGTTTCAGAAAATTTGTATTTTTTTGAATAGTGAGCAAAGAAGCAAATCTAGAGTCTATATTTTTGTTATTGGTTATAATTAAGATAATTTTTTCTGTTTGGCTTTTGAAGTTGTTTTCCCCCAGTAATTCATGTTCAATATGTATATGCATGATTAACATTCATTTCTTAGCTAATGCTGTTTAAAGTTTTTTATTTTATTTATTTATTTTTATTTACTATTTTCATTTTTTCCCTAATTGAACAATAAATGATTTACCAGATTATTTATTTTTAAGTGCCTACTATTTAGGAGATACCTTGCATAAAATGCAGTATATAGTAAGATACATTCTTTGCCTATAAGATGTTAATAATTCAGTAGGGAGAAAAATAAATATATATGTTTATTTATTAGTACAGGTCAGAATAGTAAGTCCCAGTAGAGATAGTATGCTTTGTTTAGTGAAAAGGAGAACTCCCATCTAGTTGAAAGAGCAGAAAAACTCTATTAAGGGGGTATCATTTAAGCTGCTTTTCAGGGAACTTGAAAAACTTGAGCATGAGCAAAAAATGAAAAAGGTAGTACAAGTCATAGCTTGATTCATATGCTCTGCTGATACATGTGTACCAGCAGTATATAGAGAGCGGATTCACTGAACAAAGTAATGATTTATATCCTAGATAGGAAGAGTGGAATGGTACTTCTTTTTGAGTACATGGTATTCATGTACTCAAAGGTAGATAATCTAAAAATGAATTGCTTTTTTTCTGAAATTTTGCATTTAATATTTTTATACCATAGTTTACAGTGAATAACTAACCACAGAAAGTGAAATGTTAGATAAGAGAGGAACTAGTGTAACGTAAAATGAGGACTAATCATGTCTATTTTAATTTAGTACATAAATATATTTTCAGATGTTGGGGAAAATAATTTCAGTGGATCAGTAGTTGTTGCAAATGAATTTCAGTAAAATGAGAGCCAAAGGGGAGAAATTTAGAACAATATGTACAGAATAGTTCTTTTTTTTTTTTTTTCAGAATAGTTCTTCATTGTGAAGAAGAGAGGGAGCTACAAAAGGATTCTCTTTTTCTTTCTCAGTCTTAAATAGGAGAGATTAGAACCTAGCAGAAAGACAGGAAGGAGCCCACAGAGAGGGGAAGATCCCTGAGGAAGCTGGAGGGAGAGGGATTTTGGACTCTGGATCATAGATTGTCTAGAAGGATCCTTTTCCATGATAGTAGGAGCAAAGATCATAAAAATATAGCTGCAGCATGTTTATGTTTATCACAAACATTAAAGGAGTGTACCATGCAATTTTGAAGAGAATGGAGATTTGAATTGCTAAGGAGAAAGCTGGCTAAGAAGACATGGAAGGTCAAGGCAGTATGCTGCTGGAAGTATGATAGAGTGGTGCCAGACCACATAACTTGTTTTTTTTTTTCCCCACTCCTGGCAGTACTAGGTGTCTCAGGTATAGGCAAAGTACAGGAGTAGAGACAGAGATCTGGATTAATCTAAGCTTGAAATGTTTTGAAGCACAGCTGAAAAATGACTGTGCTTCTGGCTGAAGTGATTGACTTTGAAGTCTACTCAATTAGGGAAAGAAGGGAAGAGAGAAGACTAGATGAGAGGACTGGAAGCCTTAGAGACATCCAAGGACCGATGTAGAGTGACTAAATGAGAAAGCTTAGAGAAAATAGGTAGATGTGGCCAGAGAGAAGTTAGCATTTATTCCTTGGGGACTGAACTGCTTTTGATGATAAAGTCCAGGAACATTCATTTAAAAACAGGGGCTAACTTCAAATGGCTAAACTATATCACTTGAGGAAGGAAGAAAAGGGAGGGAGAGAAGAGAAGGGTGCTACTTCCCATATGTCTCCTTATGATGCTGCTGCTGTAGGGTTGCTTAGGAATCAGCTGGAGAAATCACTTGCCATAGACTGTTGCAGAATTCTTTCTGCCAAAGTTTTCATGGCTGTCAGGCTGTACTTGGTGCCTGAATACAAAATGCTGGTGTCAAACTGGTTTCTTTGCCAACAAGGGTAATGAGAAAATGTCAATGTCCTTTGTGATCTGGAAATAATCTAGGTATGTAGTGATAAATCATGTATTTTTCATGGTTTAATTTTTATTTCTAGATGGGCCTATGTCTTTAGAAATGGAATCCAGTACAAATGATACCAAAGATGATCTTGATGTAAGTATTGAAACTGGAATTTTATTCATGTTTTCAAGAGCCTTCTAATCTCTTTGCTTACTAGAATAGAATATAAAGCTGCTTCTCTCTTAACAAATAAACTTTCTATATAGCATTAAAGCTTCTTATTTTCTGAATTGTAACCTGTGGAGATAAAGTACAAATTGCAGGCCAGAGATTTGAGTTAGTTTACTAGTTGACTACAAGATTAGATTTCCCTCTTTGATTTTAACCTGAGTGTCATAAAGTACATGTTTTAGTAAACTTTTTCACTGCTGTTACTAAAAGACCAGACCAGAACAACTGTAGAAAAAGAAAAACTGTAGAAAACTGTGAGGGCTCACAGTTTCAGAGGTCTTAGCCCACAGAAGGCTGGCTCCATTCATTGGGGCTCAAGGTGAGGCAGGACATCATGGTGGGGGAGAGTGTGGTGGAGGGAAGCAGCTTGCATCATGATCAGAAAGCAGAGAGAGAGAGAGAGAGAGAGAGAGAGAGAGAGAGAGAGAGAGACACTCCACTCTCCAAATACAAAATATATACCCCATAGTCACACCCCTAATGAACCACTTCCTTCAGCCACACCCTATCTGCCTCCAGCCACCACCCAGTTAATCCCATCAGGATTTAATTTGCTGATTAGATTAATGCTATGGCTGATTATTTCTCCTCTGAAACTTTTTGCATTGTCTCACACGTGAGCTTTTGGGGGATACCACATCTAAACCATGACAGTACACTTTTATTTACTACAATTACAATATTGGTTTTGGATACTTTGAAAATATATGCATCTTGTTCTTTCTTGTGTTTTAATATCTGCTTGATAAAAGATTGTAATTTTGATATTCTTGGACTATATCTGTTTTATCTTTAACCAGAATATACTTTATTGATTGAAGTTGTTTTCTGTTAAGTTAATAAAATACTTATAGTAGCTAAAATTTAGCTGTTGGTTTAAGTGGAAAACTGAATCTTTCTCTGTAGCTTTCTAAGACTGTCATAGATGCTTTCTGTACATGAGCCTGTGTGCTCTCTTTCAAGCCTAAGATTTTCAGGAAAGCGATTGCAAGTTTTGTTGTTGTTTTTAGTGACTGTAACTTGTCAATTTGTTTCAGAATTCAAATGTGCCTGATTCATCTCTGCCTGCTGAAAACCAAGCAACTGGCTCTCGCTTTGGTTTTTCACCTCTTCCTCCAATCCGAGGTCCATTGTTTCCAGTGGACCCAAGGAGTCACTTCATGAGAAGAGGACCTTCTTTTCCTCCACCTCCTCCACCTCCAGGAAACATGTATGGAGCATCTAGAGATTATTTTCTACCTGGCCCACCACCCCCTCCATTCCCAAGTAGGTTTTTGGTTTTTTATTTTTTTAAACTTAATATGTGCTTTGCATAGTAAATCAGATGGTAATTTTTCTATTCTGGTAGTAAATAGTACAGTGGAATAATAATTTTTTTTTAATGTTTAGTGAAGTGTGCCATTACTTTTCCAAATGAAAAGGCAGCCAGCCATCAGTTGACCATAATAAGGCTTCAGGTATAGGCAAAATAGAGCCAGAGATCTGGATTAATCTAGGCTTGAAATATTTTGAAGCATAGCTGAAAAATGACTAACAGGGCAAGGGTATTAATTACTGGTTGAAGTGACTGAAGTGATTAAGCTTGATTTGTCTTAATGATGTGGAACTATTTCTGAATTTGAGTAGTCCAGAAAGTCATTGACTTTGCAAGTCTTATATTAAGACTAAAGTTATCTGTATATTATTTGTTAGAAAATATTTCAACAGTTAAAGTAATTATATTTCAGAATTGAAATTAGTGGCTAAAGTATTTTAAAAAGTTTTTTTCATAAGTAGTAGTCTCATATGACCCTACTTACTTAACACCTAAGATGCATTTATCATGTTTGGCCTATTTGTTGATTTATTGAAATTTTTTCATGGTCTTATATATGAAAAAAAGTATTCATTGCTTTTTTAATTTTTTTTTTTTAGTTATAGGTGGACACTTTTATTTTATTTTTATGTGGTGCTGAGGATCGAACCCAGTAACTCATGTATGCTAGGCAAATGCTCTACCGCTGAGCCACAACTCCCTGCCTTAATTCTTTGCTTTAATAGTCATACTTTACCATTCAGAACTATAGGTTACTGCAGAATAAGTTATGATTACCAAATAATAGACAAAAGCACATTAGTTTTCTGATGTAGTCATTCTTCTATTCTCTATTTTTAGTTAAGATGAATTAAAATAAATTTTGAGGAATTTTAAGACAGTTGTTGGTTTAACTGGAAATGTTTTAGTATAGTATCAAGTCAGAAACACTAATCTGAATTTTAAGTCTAGGAAACTATTAATGTTTTTAAGTCAGTTTTGCATATTTTGAAATAATTCTTTTCTCTTTTTTAAAAAAATGTTAGGATAAATTGTGTCTAAAATTAATAATATTATCATTAATCATATATAATTGAAGAAAGTGTATTTTTCTCAATGTAAAATAGATCAAATACTTATTCTGTTGTCACAGTTTGAATATAAGAATAGGTGTTGGAAGTTATAAATTTAATAGGGCTATAGTTACAGTTTAAATTAAACATGTCTTTTACCAATCTCTTTAAACAGTGAGAAATGCTTATTCACCGAGGGGTTTTCCTCATTATCTTCCCCCAAGAGCTGGATTTTTCCCCTCACCCCCACATTCTGAAAGTAGAAGTGAGTTCCCTTCAGGGTTGATTCCGCCTTCAAATGAGCCTGCTACTGAACATCCAGAACCACAACAAGAAACCTGACAATATTTTTGATCTCTCTTCAAAAGTAATTTGACTTATCTCTTATTTTTAGTTTAAGTAACTGCTGTTACTTAAGTGATTATACTTTTGCTCAAATTGAAGCTTAATGAAATTATAATTCTCAGGATAGTATTTTGTAAATAAAGATGATTTAAATATGAATCTTATGAGTAAATTATTTCCATTTTATTTTATTCTAGATAGTGTAACTATTTTAATTTGATTAATCCACTATTACATAAACAATAATGGGAGTTTTATATACATAATCTTGCACTTGGGATATTTTAAACCCCCCAAAAAGACTGTCTTTATGCCAAGAAATATATTTACTATGATTGTAGCAAATGTGAAAGTAACTTTATGCTTAATGAAATAATTTTAATTGATTTAAAGCATTGTTTGGCATTGATAATAATAAAAATCAGCTAGTTTTTCCATAAATATGGCTCCATAAATTAGTTTTTTTTCCTTGTACCAATAACTATGATGTGGGCCTTTCTGATTTGATTATCTTACAAACGGACATAAATGACCCAAAGCAATAGCATACTTTTAATACTTTAAATATATTTTAAAAAGTCAATATTGTTTCTAGTGTAAAGAAAATCAGGACACTGTCTAATGGTGAACTTTTGATCATCTTAGTTGATTCACTGGTTTTCATCTATGGGTTGGTTTTTTTTACTATTCATTTTAATTCTTAAGATCTTTACTATTTTCTGTGGGGAATGTTAGATTTGATACAGGATAATTTGACACATATTGAAGCAATGTGTCATTTTGAGCTTTGGACTCAGTATCTTTAGAGAGTTTCAGGCTTGTGTCCTATTATTAGTCTTGTGCAACCAAATGATTATGAAAGGAAAGATAATGAAGCCCAACTAATAAGTATCATAACACTTATAAGCAATTGGTTGTTTTTAGTTATTTACTTGGCTTTTTTTTCAGTGTCAAAAGACAGAAGATTAAATATTCTTGAACCACAGCAGTGATGCATTTATAATTGGAACACTTCATGCTAGCATTTCCCAGAGGTTATTTGGAACCCTGGTCTTGTGAAGTATTTCTTTTCTTCTTCCATTACCCATCCCCACCTTAGAGAAAAAGGGTAGAAAGAAAGATTGGGTAAATCTTGGGTAAAATAAATGCTTTGGGTAAAATATTAAGTGAAATGAGAACTGTAGAAACATGATTACATTAAAGTTTGTTTGCTGTGGTCTAAATGTGTCCCTTCAAAATTCATGTTGAAATTCTAACTCCCAAGGTATTAGGTGCCACACACCAGAATGCTGACTCAGTGACGTAAAACAAGTCAAGTGAGAAAACAGACAGGAAAGGCTTTTATTAGTCCTTTTCCTAAGAGAAGGGAGATACAGCACTGACTGGAGAGTGTCAGGCTGGTTTCCCCAGTAAAGGGAGAGAGCCAGTTTTATTCTGGTGAAAGGGCTGTTTGCATAAGGCTAAGGTTTAAAAATATTAATTAGCTTTAGGTACATTTCACAGGTGTATTTTTCTTTTTCTATGAGTATACTGTAACTCTGAGGAAGGCATGGTCAGTTAGTTGTCCTGAAGTCAGATGTAAGTTTTTTTATATCAGTGCCACATTCTGTGTTAACATCTCTGTCTTGTGATGAATTGCTATAGCTGTTAAGAGAACACATAAGTGGGAAATAGAAGAGAATATAAATCATGGCAAATAACAAGGACCCTAGGAATGTCCTGTTTTGATGGCTTCTCAATTTTTATCTTTTATGTTGTTTGTCCTTGAAGAGTCATGGCAAGAGCATCCTGGCCCAGAGATACACCAGGTCTTTGAAGCTGATAAGGCTGTTCTTAGGGAGGTGGGCAAGGCACATAAAAGCATTTAATAGCTACAATCTATGAATTAAGGTAGGAGAGCATAGGAATAAACTTATTGTCTTTTAATGTCTGTCAAGTCATGAGTTATGGTGCTCTCTGTCTGAGTATTAAGAGTTAGTCTTGGGATAGAATTTAGTCATTAGGGTGGAACCCTCAGAAATGGAATTTGTGCCTTTATTTAAAAAGGCCCATGGGAGTGTTATAGATTGGATATGAAGTATCCTCCAAAAAGCTTATGTGTTAGAAACATGATATCCAACACAGCAATGGTCAGAGGTGAATATTTAGATTATGAGAGCCATAAACTGATCAAAGTAATAATTCGAATGGATTGCTGGGTAGTAACTGTGGACAGATGGGGTCTTGCTGAAGGAAGTAGATCACTGGGGGTGTACACTTTGGGATATTTTGTCTGTAATTTCTTATGTGTGCCCCCCACCCCGGTCTCTCTTTCCCTCTCTCTGTTTCCTGGCGGCCATAAACTGAGCAGCTTTCCTCCTCCATCATGATGTTCTTTCTCACCTTGGGCCTAGAACAATGGAGTTGGCTGACCATGGACCAAACTCATGAACCCTAAATAAACTTGTTCTCTAAGTTGTTCTTGTCAGGTATTTTGATTAGCACAGGGAGCTTAACCCCTCCTACCATGTAAAGATGTGGCAAGAAGGCATTATTTGTGAGTTAGAAAGCTAACCATCTCTGGAAACCAAATTCATTAGCGTCTTTATCATCTTGGACATATTAGCCTCCAGAACTGTAAGAAATAAATTTCTGCAGTTCATAAGTTTACCCAGTTCATAGTATTTTGTTACAGCAACCTGTGGTCTGCTATAACAAAAAAGCCAGACTTCAGAGGAAATAGACTGTTTTTTAAAGATGGAATGAAAAGTAAAAGAGAAATAGGAAAGACATTATTTTGAACATTCCAATCAACTGAATTTTTTGTTTGTGCTAGAATAGGGAGGCCTGTCATGGCTTAAGGTAAAAGGAAAGGATGGAGAAGGAGGCAAATCAAACAATAGAGAATTGGAACAAATTGAAGAAGCAAAATCATTGGGGAGGCAGGGAGAGTATGGAATAAGAATGTAGTAGAAGTCAGGAAGGCTTGCTGTGGGCTGAGTAACTTAACGTACTTGGACGTATACAATAAATAACATTTAGTTTTGAAATATTTTTATTAAAGTAATATAAATATTTGAAACAAATCAAGTAATAGAATGTATCTTATGATAGTAAGTTTCCCCCATTTACTTTTTATCCTCAGCTCTATGTCCTAAATAGTCTCTCTTGTTTATTTGGTTTTAAACAATTTAAGATTGTAAAAATTTCCCAATACTTAATTCTGATGTTCTAGAATTTTGGAAAATATGCTTATATCTCTAATTCCTCTTTTACTAACTTGATTTATCAATTTGTGGCTTGGTTCCTTGAGATGGAAGACTGTGATTTTGGTAACATTCTCTGTTAATATCCCTGCCCTTAGTTCTACTTTCCTTCTTCTTCTACCCTGGCCAATATACTACTTTCTGTTAGCTATACATTTATATTTTCAAGTTTGCTAATAACTATATTATGCATGCAAGTATAGCCCTTCTGTAATTGTTCCATAGTTGATCTAAAATTTGGAAATCATTAAATAGCACTTGTGTTGATATAATCATTTAAATATTATTCACTATTATACCAAATTATGTATTAAGTTTGTACTTTTGTACAAACTTTTGTTTATAAGTTCCAGTGACATAATTTCTGGGTTACTCAGAAGAGAATGCTTTGGATCCTCAAGGTCAAATCGGTAATTTTTTCTTAACTCTCTCTTTCTTCACTCATTCACCAATAATAGCGTAAAATAATGATAATTTTAGTTTGCTTTATCCTTGGACAAATTGGCCTTGGGGCCAGTACTCACTTCTTTATCATATCCCAATTTTTAAAAATTATTTATTCTTTTTAGTTATATATGACATCATATCCCAAGTTTTAAAAACTTCTTTTCACATCTTTTCTTTTGAACTTGTGTGTGTGTGTGTGTAATTTTTTTTAAGGACTTTTGTTCTGGAGAGAGCCTTTGTCCTCCAGCTGCAAAACAGACTGTTTTCTTTCTAGGCCCATGAAGAGAATCTGCTCTTTTACAGATTTTTTGGGATTGCTCTCCTGTTCCATCTGGATCCTAGACCATCTGTCCTATTGGATTTTTTGTTTGTTTTTCAGTGTCTTATTTTGTTGAAATTCACTATCAAGTCAATTTTTTAAGAAAGGATATATGGAATATCAAATTTGTAAATTTTTGGTGTTAGTTTATTTGGATATAGAATTCCAATAGGTCAGACATTTTTGTACTTTTTATATCAGTTGATTAATACCATTATGTTAAATTTTAGTGTCCATTGTTGCTGATGAGAAGTCTGATGAGAATTTTATCCTCTTTCTTTTGTTGATAACTCAATATTTTTCCATATAAAAACTTAAAAGATTGTTTTCCTTTATCTTAGATGTTCTGAAATTCACAGTGTGGTGCATCTATTTGTGAGACTTTTTTATTCAGTTTGTTAGTTTAGGTTCTCTGATAAGCAGCTTCCACGATGGAATTGGACATTGAATGGAGACTGAGGAAGAAACACCATGAAAGATTAACCGGAGAATTTAAAGAATTATGGGGAAAGAAGACTATGATTCAGATGTGACATCTGTGAATGGGAAGAGGGAGGGAAGGAAGGAAAGTTGGATAGGAACAGTGTCAGAGTATAGTGAAGCAAAGATTGCCTGTTAGCATAGTTCCTCACAGTACGAATGGTTTCTCTCTAGCTTCCCTGGTGTGTTCTGTCCTTGGCTTGGAGCAGCTCCTGGGAAGAATGTGGTTTTGGTGTGAGTGCGAAGCACAACAGCTAGACTGTGATAGGGTGTGTTCACATGGAAAAACTGGGAAGCTGTTTGACAGAGTCTGAGAGGATGGGAGGATGGACCTTTGCGATTATTACCAAACTAATTATTTGGATGTTAGAAGGAGAAACTTGTTTTTGCATCTAATACTCTAAACTTTTTAAAACAATTCTAAGAACGAGTTAAGGCAGGTATTTTTATTCTCCTTTTAGATATAGCCTTAGGAAGCAGGCTTATTTTTTTTAAAATTTCTGTTTGTTCATTTTAGTTATATATGACAGTAGAATCTATTTTGATATATTTATATCTCAGAAGCAGGTATTTTTAATTTGATTTTTAAAACCAAAATTGTTTTAGAGAATTTACTTTAAAACTTCCAGTATGAACTGAATTCACTTCATTTTTCATTTCTGTGTCTGGCTGTCAGACTTTGGAGAACTAAGGAACAGACTTGGCTTGGTATGAGGTAAAGAAAATGTATAATCAGGAAATAAATGTTTTCTTGCCATGGGTTCATTAATAGGGGAGAAACATTTCTCTCAATTAAAACTTAGGAGCCTTCTGTTTTCTGAATTGCTTTTTGTTTATGGAAGAAGACTAACATTTTGGTTCTAATTAGTTGACTAGCTAAATCTTAACACTTTGCATTTGTTGTCTGTAGTGGTATTTCACATACATATAGTGTGTAGTATTACTGAAAATGGTGCCATCATTAGTTCATACTTTATTCATTTTATTCGTTGGATAGAGTTTTTGCCATGTTAAGTTCAGCCTGATATTGTAAGGCTAACATCTTTAGTTTCTAAAGAAACTAAAAGGAGAGCATTGTTAAGATTGTGGAACAATTAAGAGTTGAAAAGTTAAAAAAAACCAACCTAAACAATTAATATTTTGTTATTGCTTCACTGAAAAAAATTACATGACTAAATTTCATTTTTTTCATAAGATCATGAAATTATAAATCTTAGAAGAAAAGCTAATAGTTACTGGTAGGCATTTTAAATAATTTGTGGCATGTTGTTATTTTAATTAAATGGATTTTTTTAAAAGCAAAAAACGGGAAGGAATAGTAAAAATTAAGTGAATTTAAATTTATCTGTAAAGCCAGGATTACACAAGCTGATTTCAATACTTTGAGTATTGAAATTAAATGTCTAATATGATAAATTATAATAGATTGCTTTGAGTTGACTGTTTTAAAAAATATTTCAGAGTGAGGATGTAGCTCAGTGGTAGAGTGCTTGCCTAGCATGAGTGAGGCCCTAGTCTTGATTCCTAACACTGTGTGTGTGTGTGTGAATGAATAAACATTTCAAATATAAGTTAAATTAGAGGGTTGGTGGGGGGTCTAGCTTGGAGTCTAGCTAGAGTGCTGTCTAGCATGTGTGAAGCTGAGAGTTCAGTACTCAGCACCAAGGGGGCGGGAAAAGAAATTGGAGAGCTCTATCATTTTAAAAATTAATTCATCATTAGCTTTAATAAC